GGGGTGGCGGCCACTGAAGGGGCGGCGTGCTTTTTTTTGAGAGAGAGAGATCTCGCAAGCTTTATTAATTGAGAGAGATGTTCATAGGTACAGTAGCTGGGTTATGAGGAATACCCCACCACACATCTTTGACTTCATGGGTTCACCGTCACAATACACTTCAGCCCAGTCCTAATACGCTTTTATGATTACGTTTTGGAATTAACCGATGTGGTACTAACCAAACATTTCGTTTTTGCCTCCATGGTAGCACAATGGTAGAGTTGGGCTTGCTTTAGTCCAGCCCATACACGTATTTTAAAAAAAACAGGGGGGGAAAATTGATACGCTGTGATTTGATCACTGGTCTACCTGATGTACGCCAACAAAGCAGACCACTCCGGCTACGCTCATGTCTGTGCTAATATAGGCGTTCGTCTTTTAAGAATAGAGTATGAGGCGTACACGGGCTGAGGCAATGAGCACGGTCGTGCTGGGCCGGGCCGACTGCTCCGGCGCACGGGACGTACAAAGGGAGTCGGCTGGACCGCTGGAGGCAGTTTTTCATATTTGTTTACGTATTAAATAGTCCCACCTTGCTATTTTACATAATTTTTTATCAGTTTATATACGTTCTTAGGTTGTCTAGCATCAAGGAGCTGCTTTGGAAATTAAGCAAAGAATATGAAATGAATAAGATTTGTCCTTAATGGAACAAATGAGGGGCAGAGCAATAGGAGAGAGAGGAAGGAAATGGACATTACATGAAAAATAAAGAAGGAAAGAGAGGAAAAGTAAAATAGATGGTAATTAAGGATGTGCGGGAATCGATGGCAGGCGGCCCTCATCTTACGGATAAAAATGAAGTGCCATTCTTTTCCTACATGATCCTCATTAAATTTACTTCATTTTTTTTCTTCCGTTGCAACAGACAACATGACACTTTTTTCCTTACAATTATAATCCTTACTAAGCTTGCACCAAATTTATAACACATTCAACATTATGTTGCACATACAGTCTTCGCTAAATTTATGTCAATTGTTTCTGACGTTGTAACCCATCGGTATATATACTATTTTTTATATATAAATGGAGGTATAATATTATTGGTCCTCCCATTTCATATGACCATGGCGTTTCTTCACACTGAGCTAGGCTATTCTACGGTTTCTACCCCGTTCTCCCGCGTAACATTTCACCAACAAAAAAACAATGCCCTCCCAACAGGTCCGTGCGACCCGGCCCAACCATCCCGTTTAGAAGATGAGTCAAAAATAGTTGACGGTGACTGGAATCAAACGCGGAACCCCCACTGTTTTTGGTGTTGATCATGTTATCCCGCAAAAAAGGTGTTGATCGTTTTCAACTAAAGTTGAATTTGGTGGTTGTTTGTGTCCTTCACGGACTGGTACTAAACTACTACAATGTAAAATCCAGATCACACAAACACAAGGCGCAAGCACTAGATTATGCAGATTTGATCGGGATCTCAAACGTGATTGTTCGCTTATCTGTCCATGCGGGGGATGCAATTCTTTATTGGATCCAAGTTTGGGTGGAACGTTCGCTGTGTAGTGGACATCGTGACCGACATTGATGACAAAGAAAAGAAGAGATAATAGGTATTTCATTATGATGATGTTCCATACTGCTCCTATGGAGTCCCTCTTTGGACTGTTGGACGCGTATATCCAATGAGACTACTTTTCCGGTTGTTGGCTGGAGCTATCATTATGACTGCAAATTTCTTTTCAATCAAGTAAATTTATATGCTCACCAGAAACCAACGACAGGTCAACACTTATCAACAGTTTGCAATCTTTATTAGACTATGCATAAGCCAAATGTTGTTTTAGTTAGGCAATGTAGAAAACATGGTCGTGATTTATGTAGATTGGGCAGTCCCTTCAAACTGCATTTTTCAATCTTGAGTGGACGATTACATGTTTTCTTATAGAAATTGACTATATGTTTGATGAATTGACTAATTATTTTTGCCCCATCAGATTAAACTAGGTCTTAATTTGAAGGTACAATTTAGGTTGCTGGTGTTGGTTTGTTTATTGTACTAATTATGCTCTTTAGACAGAGACATGTTGTCTTCCTCATTCCTCAGTCGCTATGAGCTGGGCATAGATCGATGACCCGGTTAATCCTGATTTGTTGCAACATATGTTTTCTCCACATAGGTCTAAATAATGCAACCTCTTCTTAGGCTGTGGAAATATGATTTGGATGGAGGTTGATGGACTAGAGCAATTAAAGGGATGTGATATTTTCTTCTCCCCTTGCAACGCACGGGCATATGTCCTACCTATCCCTAATAATAAAGCACGGATTGACTCCGTGGATTCACCGTCACAATACGCTTTCTTTCTGTGAATTTACGCTTTCGGTTTGAATTTAAAACATATACTCGAGGTGGTACTAAACCGTTGATCGATTTCGCTCAAATCGCTCGACACCGAGAAAGCGAACGAAACAGCCCATCAAGAACGAAGAAACAGGCCAGTGACCCGCGGGCGTAGCTCAGGCATTACCCCGGGAGGCCGTATGTTTCGTTGTCACGCGCGTGGGCCGAATTGACATAGTCCACATTTTACTAAACCGATGAGCAGAGGAGCAGTGAAAAATACTTTCTACGTGAGGATTAGAACTCATAAATAGTCCCACCTTGCTCCTTTTCAACCAATTCAATCAATTTATATACGCGGGCGACTTTTCTGCATCAAAAATCAACAAGCCTCTGAGAGGAACAGAACGAAGGAATTAATCCGCGAAGAGTAAGTAGGTCTGAAGGAAGAATCTCAGATAAGCACGCAATCGGCAACCCCAGGAGAGGGAACATAATGGAATTGGAAGGATGGAATGGAATGGAACGGAGCCCCGCGAGCTCGGCCAAGCAAGGCCGAGCGTCGGAGCGGAGGAAGAGAAGGGCACCAACGGACACCGCTGCTCGGCGGACCCGCGATTGGCGAGGAGGGTGCACAATGTCGGCGCCCTGACGTCTTCTCCTGGCCCAGGCTGGAGGCGGACATGACACGATCGCGCACTCCAGGGAGAGTGCATCGTCGGTGCCGAGGGAGGAGGGAGGGGTGTGACCGCGCCGCGCGTGCTCGATCTGTTTTACTTGATTGGCTGTGGAAGAGGGAAGAGGGGAGGGGAGTACGCGGCGCCGTAGGTGGGGGTGGGAACTTGGGGCCGGGGCGGAGAAGGAGGAGCAGCGCTACTGGGATGTTGGCCTATTGGGTGCTGGCCTGCTGGACGGGATGTGAAGGAGGAGCAGCGCAGCACTGCGTGGATAAAAGAGGGCCACACAGGAGGATTACTCGGCGGGGATTGTTTGCTATGTTTGCTGAAATGTAGAAGAAGCATATATACGTGATGGATGGTGTACGTCGCCTTCACATGAAATTTATCAAAAAAGTTTGCCTTTTTTATGGTGATGAGTGAGAGTGAGTGTGGTTCGGTCTTTGGGCCAAGTTCAAGTAGTGCAAAAGGAAAAAAACATAATATAATCTTGCAAACCAAGCAACCAACTTTTTCTTAAAAAAATATCAACATAGTAAAAAACTGTTTGCTTTCGAATATTAACCAAAAAATGT